CGGCAACGTCATCTCGTCGTCTCGATCATTTGGCTCTGTTGCGGAGTTCGCGACCTTCTACTCCCCTCATTTGCCGGCACGTGCAATGCGTACTTTAAGTCAGCACGCTACAGGTTTCATTCATTGATAACTACAGGTAGCTAGTAAATGGTTTATTTATACCCAACTCGATACCGTGTGTGCGCTGGTTGATAAACTACCACTTCAACCAATGCATAAGTGAGCAGCCGCTTTTATACCATTTTCAGTAAGACCACTAACGCACGAATAAAATACTGCGACCATCAGCTGTGATGAGTCAGTTTTGTCCCGTGGATTGGTGGAGACGAAACATTCCGATTGCGAACGGCTCACTTTCGTCAGCTGACAAATGCTATACAAGTAACCGAGGAGCTTGCACTAGCCTTACGATCTTACCTCCGTTTTTATAATTGTTTATGACCAAAGCAACAATTCCTGCACCCCAAAATCTAAACTCGGTCCGAGTTTTGACACGGAGAGGGCAACGACTACCGTAGGTGATCATACCGCAGGGCGAGGTGTTTACCCCACAGATGGTAGCGGTCAGCTAACGAACAGATATTAATAAAGGTTTCTTGTTCTAAGAAGATAGAGAATGAAATTCTAATTCCAACCCAAGACGAAACGATTCGCGCCACCGTTCCTTATTAATTTTTGTTGAAGGTAGTATAAAGTCGAACGAGTTTTATCCGCCACGTTTTTCGAAACATCTCCAATAAAAAGTCGTTTTTAACGAAGCGTATCAGATAAGCCGCAGCTGATGGATCTGAAACCATGGAGATAAAAGTAGAATTTGATTTATTAACCGGGCACAGCATCGAGCGGAACCTTTAAAGACAACTTACCGGATAAAGTTTAACACGCTGAAAAGGAGAAACTACGTTTTAGACTTAAGACATTCTCACTCTCTGTTGAAATTCGCTCACTATTGCATCACTGCCCTGCCTGCCTCCCACTGAAGGCCTACTCGCCATTTAGGTAATCGTTTAAAACCACCACTGCGCTGCTCCCAGTAAAATTCGCGCTCGCTGAATTTAATGAAACTCATTTTGAAATACCAGCTGTATACGATTCTGTTCATAAGCAGTACTTATATGACTGCAGGTGACGACGACGCAACAGCCAATTTACTTGGGCAGACAGTTCAGATTAGTAAGACTTCATACATTTCAACTCTTCCCTAACCAGATTCTGTGAGATACCGATGAAAGCGAGTGAATGAGCCTACAGTCTGACATCTTCATCTACCTCTTCCATGACCGCTTCTCCTTTCGTGTCGCGGTGGCAGACGCGTCAAACACAGCTTCAAAGGTTCCCGATACTCTGCCAGAGTCTCAGCTACGGCAGAGGATAACTGGAGTCTGGAACAGACTCCTTCCATGTATTTTCACCAGGTTAATCTTGGACGGCCTCTGGGCTTTGTACCTGTCGTTTTCGCAAGGAACAGTCGCTTAGCCTTCTTTTCTGGAGGCATTCGCAACACATGACCATGCCATCGCAGCTGTGACTTCTCAATCTGGAGAAGCAAAGGCTGTAATCCAAGGCTCTTCCGGATGTCAGTATTCTGGATCATGTCGAGACGCGTAAAGCAAGCGACTTGTCTAAGAAAACTCATTTTTGCCGCTTGTACCCGTGATCGAAATTTTCAGTCATGGTTCACGACTCAAGACCCTAGGTAAGCATCTGGATAAAGATCGATTTGAACACCAAGAGCTGCGTTTTCCCACTGAGCTCTGCTTTAGCCACAATGATTCGGGCTATTTCACGCAGAACCACTGGCGACTACAATTCGTTGGTCGATCTCTTCCTCAAATT